AGAGGTGGCACACGGGGCTCTGCAGGGTCCCCCGCACCCCCACCCAGCAGCACCGGGCACCTCCGGGACATGGGTGCAGGGTGGAGGACCCTGGCAGTGATGTCTGTGTCTTCACTGGGCTCCCAGCCTGGTGCCACGCCGGGTGGGTGAACCCCAAACTGGGCAGACTCACTGGTTTGCTCTTCTCGGCCGGGCGGACCCCGCGCTGGCCCTGCAGGGCTGGCAGCAGGGCACGGGGGTCCGGGGGGATCTCTGCCCTGGGCAGGGTGAGCTCCCCTGCATGCCCCATCCTGGCATCAGCCCCCTGCACGGGCCCAGGGCCTTGTGAAATGCTCGTCCCGGAGGATGCTCCACACATTTCCTGGAACAGGATCTCTGTAAGACGTCAGGGGGTGACTTCAGAGCCCCAGAGCCAGGCGTGTTCGGAGGGACTGGGGCTGCTCCTGCACATCCTCTCCCCTCCTGCAGCTTGCAGCTCTGCCTCCCTGGGCCAACCCCGCCAGATTCCCTGCACCCAGGAGCTTTCCTCTGGAGCAAAGTGGTGAACGTGCCATGAGGGCACACAGGAAACGAGTCAGAGACCATTAAGGAAAGAAGATGGGATTGAACTGAGAAACCGTTGAGGCAAAGGTCTTTTTTTTTTTATTAGGGAAGGCTGGCAGGTTCCAGGAAGGCTGATTCTTTGCATGGCATGTGCTCGTTAATAAAGATAAGATTCCTGTGCCACCTCGGAGGTGTTGCTGAATCCACAGCCTAGGTGCTGTCTGCGGCTTTTAACCCTTTGTGGCCTCCTACAAGAGCAAAAAGTGAGGGTGGAGCTGAATCTTTTGGCAGCTGCTGAGGATTAGACGTTGCTCCCAGTAACCTGCAGCTTCCCCCAGACACTCTTTTTGAGCCTTGATTCTTGGAGCCTTCATTTTCTGCAGCCTTGGGCTGTCTTTAAGTGTATGGGTGTCGCATCCTCCCTCACACCCTTCCCTGCTCTCCTCCAGCACTCTGTTCTCATAACAAAGGGGCAGTGGGGCAAATCAAATGGGCATCGGGCTGGTAAACAAGGGCAAGTGCAGCCCTCCTGATACTGGAGAAGGTGATCTGAGGCACTCTGATGCCCAGCAGAGACTGGCAGTGAGCTAGCAAGGGCATTTCTTTCATCTGCAGGGGTGGGAGTGCAGGGTGCTCCCCGGGGAGCAGGTTGGGGACCCGCAGGGTGCCGATGGGGACGGAGCCGCTGGTCCCCGATGCACATGTGAGCAAAAGGGCTGCAGTGCCCTGTGCTGCAAGGGAAGAAAGCACTGCAAGAAACTATATCAAGAAGGAAACTGAAAATGAAAGTTCCTCTGAGAGGAGGGCTGGTGGCAGCCTGTCGCTTCTGAGGGTTTGCCTCGCAGCAAACGTGAACAGTCACATGAGTCAGCGGCTTCGCGGGCGCTGGATTCCTCTGCTCGCCAGCCCCTTCCGACTGAGCAGCCAGCCCTGCACTGGAAATTCCCTGTCCCTCGTGGCTGAGGTGGGGGTCAGAGGCAGCAGGCTGGTGTCAAACATGACAGGTTGCACCCACAGGCCAGGCTGGGGAGGCTCCAGAGGCAGGCAGGCTCCTTGGCTGGATGCGGCCGCATCCCACTCAGCGCATCCCGGGGCTGGAGCAGCGTGGGGCACAGCAGACATCCGTACAGCATCTCACTCACCCACGGGCCCCAGAGGGCTGCTCTGAGTCTGGTGAATCCTTTCTCCCCGTGAAAGGCACTGACACCTTCCTAGGCAGGGTGGGCTGCAGTGTTGCCTTGCCGAGGGGCTGGGGAGGGTTTCCTCTGTGGAGGAGGGGACTGGGGCAGGAGCATCCACTCTGAGCCCCCCCTGAGCTGTGTGCACCGTGTCCCAGAGCAGAGAAGAGCAAGGAGAGGAGCAGCTCTGGAGCCTGAGTCTCTGCTGATCTGGGCAAGTGGCAGCCAGCTCTCCTCCCAGCTTTACCCGTGGTCTCGCTGCTGATCCTCATCGCATTTTCAGCTTTGCCTTGGATGGGGATGTTTGAGGTTGGGGAGGAAAAGGGAAATCCTGTCCTCGGAGGCATGTAGGAAAAAACAGCATCTCCATCTGTGTGCCTCTGTGGCTCAGGCTCCCTGAACACAGCTATGCAAATACACAGTGGCTTTTGAAGCCAGGCTGATAGGCTTTGCATTTCCAGCCCCCATCCCCACCTTGAGTGCAGGATGTACTGCACATAGTAGTTTCAATTTTGTGAGGGTCTCAACTTTCTTTTTTTCCTCTGAATAATCTTCAGTGGGCTTGGACCACGTGTTGCCCTTCTCCTCTTGAAACAGGTTGTCATTTATCCATGATCAGAGCTTTTTTATCAGTGTTGCCCAGCACACAATTTAAACTTCTGGGTGTTGCTGTGTCTTCATGAATTTAGATCTGCTGCAAATCAGAAAATCCAGCAGTTTAGCCCTGCAGAAATCTGGCCTGGGAACATGTGCTGGCATGCCAACAGCGGGGTAGGAGCTGCAGTGATCTCTCTCTAACCCTGGCAGTAACTGTGTGGCCTCACTTCCTTCCCTGCAAAAACCAGAAGGTGAGGTCAGTGCCACGAGCAGAGAGCTGCAACAAGCCCTGAGCCACAGGCTGGGTTCAGGATCCCTGTGAAGTTCAGGGCTGATATGAACCGTGTGTGTGGTTCTCACTCAGTTTTCTTATTCTGAGAATAAGAACCATAAAGAACAGGGGAGATTGGAGCTGCTGGATTTAGGCAAGGGGAGAGCCGTGGCTTGTGGGAAGCGACGTTCTCTGGAGTTGTGGTGCCCTTTGTGTGTGCTGTGATTTTTGCTTTCCTCCCGGGGTGAAGCCACCACAGATGCTGCTGTGGTGTGGGGTGAGGGAGAGCTGCTGCAGCCCGTGGCACTCGCTGAGTGGGTGGGAATACAGCTGGCAGCCTTCCAGCAAGGGCGAGGAGGCGGTGGAGCCGGGCAGGAGCCGGGTGACTTCCCCCTTCTGGCACGACTGCCTGCAAACACGTTAGTGAGAGCAGGCAGGGAGAGAGGAGAAGTCTAGCCCAAGGGATCCTGCCCAGGAATCGGGGAGAGAGGGTGCGGAGGGAGGAGCCAGCTTGCTGGCAGAGATAAAAGCAGGTGGCATTGCTCTTCTGAGCACTTGGCTTAGCCACAGAGGCTTCCTAAGGCTGTCCTGGGAGGTGGGTGAGGGAGCAAGGGGCTGGGAGGCTCTGGGATCACTGCTGGCTGCTCATGACCCGGGTCACTTACTGTCTGTCCTTCCAGGTGAAGCTGAGACTCCCAAACCTCTCTCTGCCATGGCCTCAGGAAACGATGGTGACCCACCGAGGGCCCAGGGAAGCGGCAGGCGCCGGCTGTCACAAGAGCACAACTCAGGTGAGGAGGTTTCAGGGATATTCAGGGGAGGAAACATTTTCAACCCATTCTTTTCTTTTTTTCCCCTTCCTCTGCTGCGTTTCTTTGAAAAGACACCTTTGCCATACCTGTGCAAGTCTGGGATAACAAACCAGCTCCATAAAGCACTGTTGAGCTGCACCGGGAGAGCACGTGCTCGGTGCTTTTGGGAGATGCTTGGCATTGGGTTAGTGTGGTGGGCAGCAAGGGGGGCTTGAAAGGCACGGGGAAAATAGCATGGAGGGAGCTGTTTTCTGGGCTGGGGGATGCTGGCAGCTCTGTGCAAGCCACGGGGGTACCACGGGGCACATCACCCCGGCTGGGCATGAGCCATATGACTGGTGCCTGCTGTCCTTATAGAATCCTAGAATCTCTGGGCTGGAAGGGACCTCCAAAGGTCATCTAGTCCAACCCCCCTGCTATAAGCAGGGACATCTCCAGCTAGATCAAGCTACTCAGAGCCTCATCCAGCCTGATCTCGAATGTTGCCAGGGATGGGGTCTCCACCAGCTGTCTGGACAACCTATTCTGGTGGCAGAGTCCTTTTCCATGCCCGGGCAGAGGAGTGGGCAGGTGTGTGGCAGGAGCTGTGCCTGGCCCAGCAGTGCCCGGCCAGTTTCGCTCGTGGCTGGGTGAGGTCGGGTCCCTGGCGTGCCCTGGTGACCCCTCACCCATCTCCCCTGTGTGCCCAGCCCAGCAGGCTGAGGGCTCACACCATGGGTCCAGCTGGGAACGTGGCTGAAAGGTGCCCAGGAAAAACCTCAGCTCCCGTTTCATCCCCAAGGATAACACAGCACCACGCAGGAGGCTGCTAAACACGGGGACTTCTTAACCTGTTCTGCAGGTGGACTTGTAAATGAGGCTGAGTCACTGCAGCTCTGTCAATAGTGGAGATTAGGAGCTGTACCTAACTGTTTATGTGGTTGAGCTGCCGTCCAGCTCAGAGCTGGTTTATTGGCTGATAATGTTATTTATACTCAGGTATCGCCCGGGCTCCCCTCCATCTCAGAGCAGCATTTCTGCTAGATTCTGTGTGAATGCATGAGAAGCAAAAATACCCTGTCCCTTCCTTTACCCAGGTCTGTGAGGTATGAAAATAAATAAATGAGAGCAGTTGTTTACGTATGCTGATTTCCTGTTGAGGCCAATGAGATGCTGATGTGAAAACCAGTGAGAGGCTCAGGCCCTGAGCTCTAACCACACTGTTATACAGTCACACTTCCTGTATGCTTGCAAACACTTACTGGCACTACTGGCATCCCCCTGCTTCCCAAAACCCAGGGGGGGTCCATCTGGAACTGGGAGGTGGGGTCTCTCTGTGCCTCTTAGGGAGAAGCCTCCTGGACTGAAGGAGAAATGAGCAACTCCCACCAGCACGTGCTGGGGGACTAGGGGGTAGAAGGTGGCTTTCATCAGCAAGGGTTAAGTCTGGCTTTCATTTAGGGCTCTCTTGCTCTGTTTGTCTTTGGATGCTGTAGGGAGTGAAGAGATCATCTGCTGCTCGAGGATTTGCTTGAGCATCATTCTGAGCCCTTGTTTTACCAGACATGCCTTAGGCCGTGGACAAGATGCTGCTGTTTCTGTCTAGGTTGAGTGGCAGTTGGCACTTCTGGAGTTTTTAGGGCATTGTAGACAAAGGCAGGAGCTTTATACTCTTGCCAGTATGTGATGAAGAGGAGGAGCAACTTAGTCCATGAATGGACAAAAGGAAGCAAATGTTGCAGAAGGAGGGGTGGGACACCCAGCACCAACAGAAACAGAACTCAGGTTTCAGATTAACCTTGCTCTCCTTCACCTGTAACAGGGGGTGGCACACAGCTATGGGAATGGTTTGGATAAATTCCATCAGGTCTCAGATCTGTGGGACAAGCCATGGACGTGGTTGTCCTCACACGTGCAGGTAACGGTGCCCAGGGCAGCTCAGCTCCCCTGCACTGCAGAGGGGCTCCTCCAGGAGATGCAATACTGCCATGTGGTCATACATAGCTCCTGCATGGACCCAGCTGGAATCCCAAAGCACTTTGTGGAGAAAGGTGATGGATGGCTCTAGCCACCTTCCCACTGCTCGGGGGGTGGAGAGAGCTTTGCTGCCAGTCTCCGTGGGGATGCCCGTGGTGCCAGGGCCCAGCCACCCTGACTCACAGACTTCTTCCTCAGGTTACCTGGCCTTTCTCATCTGTCTGTGTTTAATACTCGCATAACATACCTCGAGAGGTGCCAGGTTTGGTCCTTGGGGGTTTATCTTGGCTCTGGACTTGACGTTGCATGAGAAGCAAGTCATGGGTTGATAAATAGTTGCTTAGGGACGTTAGTCATGCATCTGCGAGCGCCTCTGTGTCTTCATCTCCAAGAACACCTGCAAAATTAGTAGGAAAAATGTGAGCTGCCAGTTCAAGCCTGGGTTCTCATACATCCTGTAGAGCAACTGAAACCATTTAAACTTGTTTTTCTCTTGTCTGGTGCCCAGGCAGTTTCTCTCCCCAGCACAGACACGGCGCACTGGACTTCCCGTTTAGCTGCATCTCCCATCAATATGTGGTTTCCTTTTTTAAAAGAGAAAATTAAAAAAAAGCCATCCTTCTGACAGCTGTGCTGGGAAATCTCTCTGCTCTGGGATTGCCCCGTGACTCCTTTGTTCTGGCCTGCAGAAGACCCACCCCCCCCAAAAAAAGAGGTCTTTAATGAAAAGCTTGCTGGGGCAGAGGGGGATGCGTTGCCAGAGTGGAGATGCCCACCCGTCTCAGCACCCCCCTGAGGCCCAGCCTCCCTCTGCAGCTCAGCAGATGAGCAAATAGGTGACAATTGTCAGTTTGAGCAGTAAAGTAGCAGAGCAAAGCCTTGCTGCAGCTGCTGCTGCGAGCCTGTGACTCTGGGTGTGTTGGAGGGACACCGTGAGCATAAGAATTAAAGATTTCATGAGTCCAGAATCTGGCCCAAAGAATCTCCCTTATTGACAGATTAATTTCTATCTTAGAACCAAGGGGCTTTGCCCGTTAGCTCTGCAAGGAGGCTGCTGGAGAACATTCTTCCTCTTTTGCATGGGAAGGTATTTGTTCTAATGAGCAGACTAAGGGGAAGGGCTCCGTGCTGTGCAGACGCCTCCATGGAAAGCAGTTTTCCATTTCCCTGTCTAGAAGCTCTGCTCTAGTGCAGGATTCTGCCAACATGATGCAGTGTCACACCTCAGCTGCAGCTCCACGAGGTGCAGTCGAGCTTCCCCTCGAGGCAGAAATCTCCAGAGGCTGTTCTTGGTTCTCTCTTGAGAGCTAGTTGCTGTTTCCAGGCTGGATATCTCCCTCTGTGGCAACAGCTGCACCTCTGAGCATAGTCACTGCCTGTCTCCTGAGCTTGAACGGGATGCTACCAGGTGGCATCTGTCCTTGTTACAGTCTGCAGCAGGGCTCTTTAGCTGTAACAAGCTCTGATGGATAACTCTGGTGAGACCTGCCAGTTTTCTCCTCAGTGCAGCTGCTCTCCAGGAGATGGAACAGTGAGAAATAAAGGATCTTCCACAAAAATGCAGATGTTGCATGTCTGAGGTGGGCTGGGGTCTGGTCAGCATTGTGGGTGGTGTGGATCCAGGCAAGAGGGTGTTGTTGGGGTACGTCTGGGAGCTGGGGACTGAGGACAGCAGGATTGCTGCTTCCTCAAGCAAAGGTGGAGCAGGTTCTCCTTGGCAGTGTGGGGCTTCACAGCAGCTTGTGAGCCCCAGAACTCAGCCCCGATGATCCCACACGGAGCCCAAAGGTCCCAGAGGAGCTCCAAAGCCATATCCTCCTTGCCACTGCTGGTGCTGGGCATCCACAAGGCAGATCTTGATCCAGATCCTCTTTCTTTAGGTGGGAGACCCAGAGACGGTCCTGGTGGGTGCTGTGGGTTGGCACCTGGGGGAAGATGTGTTCTCCTTTCCTTGTGTTACTAAAAATAGCGCCTGGGGTAATTAAACCCAGGGATTTTTTAGGTCCACTTGTTTCCTCTTTGTCCTGGCAGTGTTTGCCCTGCCTCTCGCTGAAACTGTGAGTCAGATGGTTTCGTTTTCTGCCTCTCAGTGGATCACTCACTGGCTCCTCAGGAAGGTGGGATTTGTTTATAGCCAAATAAACCCCTTCCTGCAAAACAAAAAACAACCCCTTTGTGCAAAACAAACACAGCGACCAGGGTTTGTCATTTCCCTTCACCTTTATTTACCCAACCTGTAACTGGAGTCTCTGCACAACAGGTCCTCTCCCTTCCCTGCACCCCATCTCTCCAGAGCCCCACGCAGTCCCTGGAGATGTGACCAGCCAGAAAAACACTTCAGCCAGTGGCACGGCAGGTTTTGGAGACTTAGAGACAGGGTTTTATGGGGCAGTGTTCCCAGGACAGCTTTGTCCACCAGGCCAGGTCCTCACATCCCAGTGCTGGGACATTGCTCAGGCAGGAGCTACAATCTCTGCCTTGGAAATGCAATTTCCAGCATGGCCAGTCTGGTGGGGGGATGTACTGGGATGCTGGGACAGGGTTTTAGCTGGGCTGCCTGCAGTGAGCTGCACTGCTGCTAGACAGCGTTGCTGGTGTAGATGTGATCTGCTGTGTGTCACCAGCAGTGCCTTGAGGACGACCACCTAAAGCCATGGCTCTGCAGGGTTCTGTGCTTCTGCTGTTTCCCCAATAGCTCATTTACCTGGGTGTTTAATGACTGTGAATCTCTGGCCTGGATGCTGATAGCCTGTTAAAGGAGCAGAGCTCTGACCCATCCACACCATTCCTATCCCCTACACATTTTTCATCTTAGAGAAGAAACTGGGAAGAACCGTGTTGCTGGGACCTTGGGGCCAGCTCCCCCCGAGCCCTGTGGGGTGACTCTGGCTGGGCTCTTGGGGAACCACTGCTCCAAGCCCAGCTGGCCTCTCCAGCCAGCCGAAACCTGGCTCTAATCAGGGCCATCCCGTGACAGAGCGGGCGCGTTCAGGGAGCAGCGCGGCGCGAGCGATAAGGTATCGGTCACCATGGCACCTGGGGGCAGAGCCGCCTGCCCGGGGGCTCCCTGCTCCAGGGGGGGGCTCCCTGCTCCCAGAGGGCAGGTCCTGGCCACCTCCAGAGCCTTGCTCGTCCTCGGGGAGCTGTGAGCAGAGGAGGGGACCCGGGTGGCCGCTCCCCCGCGGTGGTGACGGGCGTGCTGGAGCAGGAGCAGACATTCCGTCCACATTTATCACCCAGCTCGTCGTCTGCTGTCAAGCACGGGATGGGGAGGCACCTCTCTGGGTGACAGAGTTATTCACAAGCTCCTCTGCTTTCTGTCCCTGCCAGCAGCCCGTGGAGAAGTGGCAAACCCTGCCCTGGCATCGCCGCTGCTGGGCGTTTGTGAAACCAGTGATGCGTGACTGAATCAGCCAGGAATTACACCAAAATGACCCATTTAGCTTTTGCTCCCCACGTCATGGCCTGTGCCCTGCAAGGGCACGTGTGCTGGTGACACTGAAAAACAAGATTTGGTTGCTGGGGGTTGATGGGCAGCACTAGACTGAGCTTTGTCTCTGGTCTGGGTTTGGATCTGGGATTCCTGAACTGGTTTCTGCTGTGCAGTGCCCTTACCAAGAGGTAGGAGAGACACTGAAATGTCTGGTTTGTGCTGTGCAGTCCTGTGGCTGTCTCTTGCCAGACATGGATTCAGAAGGTGGGCCCAAGAACAAGGGCTGGCTTCAAAATCAGTTTTCTGAGAAGGAATTTATGTTGGATTCCTTTTGTTTTACCACAAAAGGCCAGTGTTAATATAAAACCCACAAATTTAGTCTGTGAGTGAGGGAATGGTCTCTTTCCAGCCTGGGAAAGTGGGGAGAAGAACTTCTCCCTTGACTTTTCTTCCTCTTGGCTCTCTCAGAAGACCAGGTGGCAGAGGAGACGGAGGAGGTGTTTCGGAGCTACGCCTTCTACCGCTACCAGCAGGAGAGGGAGGAGAGAGGGGAAGAAGTGCCCATGGACCCAGAGATCGTAGAGATCCAGCAGGAGCTGGGCAGGTAAAACCCTGACACCAACCACATGCATGTCCCTGGAGCCCGTCCCAGCCCCAGCCCAGTCCTGCTGACCCCTGTTCCCTGGGCAGCACCGGCAGCAGGGTGGGCAGGCGCTTGGCCATCATCGGCGACGACATCAACGAGCGGTACGACGCCGAGTTCCGCTGCATGCTGAAATCCCTGCAGCCCACCAAGGACAACGCCTACGAGTACTTCACCAGGATAGCCTCCAGGTAAGGCCCCCGGCCCCCTCGGCCAGGGCTGGGTGCCTTCTCCTGGGTGAGACTGGGGAGGGAAAGGTCAGATGGGGTGTCATGCAGAGGGTCAAACCCTTGCCCTCAACCCAGAGGGGCTGGTGCTCCAGCTCTGCCCCAGCACACACTGTCCCTGGGTTGAGCTCCCAGCAGGCTCACCCCGATGGTTCCTGTGTTTTCTGCCTGTCTCCTCTTCCTCCTGTGCACTGCTTGGACAGTCTTCACCTGATGGATCATCTCACGGTTCCTGCACAAGCTGAGACGGGTCAGAAAGTTTGGGGGACCCAAGCATCAGTCCCAGCTCCCCTTCAAGGGTCTGACCAGCCCTGGTCCAAGGCAGACCTGCTGCTGGTCCCATTGCCACTTGCTTGGGAGCTGGGAAGTCCTGATGAGTCAGGCTTTGAGGCACAAAGCAAACGCAGCTGCAGGCTGTGGGGATGGGCAGGCACTTGCTGCTCTTGGCATGGCCCCATGGAACAGGATCTGGCTGAGGATGGGGGATGCTCCACAGGCTTGCAGAGCCTGCATCCATCTCCTGGAGGCAATGCAGACCCAGCTCACCTGTGCCAAGCACAACAACAGGGTGAAGAGCAAAGCCAAAGACCTGGAAAACTTATTGCCCCAATGGCCCAAGGCTTGGATGGAGGTGACCATTAAGGGGTTCAGCTCTAGCTGCAGGGAACCAACACACTGTGCACATTAAACCGTTTGCCCAGGGTCATGCAGATGAGCTCTGGCAGGGCCAGGAGAGAAGCCGGGCTCTCTGGGGTGCCAGGCTGCTGGTGCTGTGGCACAGCCCTGTCCCTGCACACCCTCTGCTCAGTGTTTGTTGTCTAACTGCCTCTCTTCTGTCCTCTTCCTGCTCCCCTGTCCTTGGGAGGCCACGCTGCTGCTGTCCTCACCAGCCTGAGGCGGTTAACCCACCGCAAACAGGTAAATTAACCTCTGTCCCTCCCTTCGTGCTGCCTGCTCCTCTGTTGTGGTTCTCTAACTTCCCTCTCCCTCCGTGTCCTCCACACCAAGACAGTTTCCCTCTGTCCAGACAGGGACCCCCAGGACCAGGGCACCAGACTGAAGCACAGGGCCTGAGTCTGCTCGTTTGTTTGTTTGTTTTTTCTCCTTTTTTCCCTTCTTGCTTGCCTTGCTGGAAACCAGGAAAACCACCTTCAAAAACTGGTCTAGATAAATCACTGGCAAACATGCCTACAACAGCCTGAGTCAGGAGCTGTGGGCATCACGTAGGTGCAGACTGGAGCTTCTCCAGCCTTTAGGAGCATCAGTCCAAGGAAAGATCAGGTTTTGGGCTGGCAGGAGTTTGTGATCCTGTTCTGACATGTTTTGTCCTTAGACATAATTAAACTTCCTTGCCTCCAGGTATGACCACACAAGCAAGGGATGCTTCAGGGCAGGTGGGTGGTAGCTTCTGAGCTGACTGCAGCCTGATCCCTTAAACCACCACCAGTTCCAGCTTACCTCCTTTAAAGCCCATGAAAACAGGAGCTCCAGGCAGCTGCTGTGCCCTGCGTTTGGGTGGAGACCTGAGGGGAAGGCAGGGAGGGGACAGGT